GAAATTAATGATAGTGAAATTATAACATATGAAAGAACGTGAAATGGAGATAATACCAGACTTAAAGAAAAATATATACTTTAAAGAAATATATATACTTTAGAGACGTATTTTAGAAAAAAGGAGAAAGGATGAAAATCAGTGATAGCTACATCCATATATAAAATTAGAAAATAGAGAAAAATACGGTAAGAATAGAGATTAATGAAATAGTAAACAAACATAAGTGAGAGAAAGTCATCAAAGAAAAATATTTTTCTTTAAAAATAACAATAAAACAGACAAACCCCTGGAAAGACAGATCGAGAATAAGAAGAGAAAGGGAGAGTACAATTAGCCAACAGAGGAAATGAAAAATGAGATATTGCTGCAAATCCTGTAGACACCAAAAATAAGTATTTTATGAAAAACTTTATGACAATAAACTGAAACTTTACAGTTAAAAGACATCTTCATAGAAAAATAGAACTTATCAAAACTGACCACAGAAGAAATTTAAAGTCTTAATATTCTTATATCTATTAAATATTAAATCTATGATTTAGGAAAACTTTCACACAGAGAAAAGTCCAGGGCCAGATGTCTTTCCCAATGTATTACAGCACACATTAAAGTTAAGAAATTAAAAGCAATAGTTGTACAGATAATCTTCCAGCAAGCAAGAAGAGTGGGAACAAGATATTAGCAGTTCAATTCCAGTTATATAGGTAACAGCGGCTAAAATAGCATGTCCAGATCCAAGTTGGGATTATTTCAAGAATGTAAACTTGGTTTAACATTTGAAAATCAAACATTGTAATTTACCACATTAAGAGAATAAAAGAGAAAACTTTTCTGATCACCTCAATAAAATAAAGTATTTGATCATATTCCACATCTATTCACTACTAAAAACAAAACAACCATAACAGCAAATACTCTTAGCCAATTAGAAATAGTAAAGAACTTCTTTAATATGATAATGTGTATCTGCAAACTTCTAGCAAGCTTTATATTTAACATTTAACACTCTTATTTAAGAGTGAAATATTGAAAATACTCCCATTGATATTGGGAGCAAGACAAGAATGATCAGTACCTTCAGTCTAATTCAGCTTTGTGCTGGAGATCATTGCCCATGGCAATAAAGCAAGAAAAATACATAGAATTTATGAGGATAAGAAGAGAAGAAATTAAAAGTCATTGTGAATGGACTGCATGATTATGTACATGTATAAATCCAATGTAATCTACAGATAAAGTATTTCAATTCATAAATGAGTTTAGCAGGGGCTCTGGATAAAAGGTAAAAATAAAAATCACATATTTCTATATGATACTGGTAAATAATAATACTAAAAATATTGTCTCATATAATACATTAGAATTATTAACTACCTGAAAAAAAATCTCTAATAAATATTTGAAAGACGTCTACCCAGGACACAAGGAAACATTATTAAGAGAAATTAAAGAAGATCTAAATGAAGAGGAATATAATATGGCTGTATTTTGTGAAGACTCAACATTGTAAAGATTCTCCAAATGTTATATGTAAATGCAAAGGCTAAGTTTAGCCAAGACAATCTTGAAATTGAACAAAGTTAAAGGATATGTTTCGTTGCATATCAAGATATTTTCTAAAGCTGCAGTAATTAAGACAGTGTTGTACTGATGCAATAATAGACAAATAAGCCTATGGAACATAAGGGGAATTCAGACACTAACTAGAACCTGCATGCATACTTGATTATGACAAAGTTGGCAGTGCAGAGCAAGTAAAGATCATCTTTCCAGTAATGGTATGTGGATAATTGGATATTCATGTTCCTTTTTCTATTGTAACAAATCACTCTCAAAACTTAGTGGCTTAAGACAACAGCATTAATTTTATTATCTTGCATTTTTCTGTCTGGGTAAGAATTTTGGAAAAAGATTAGTTGGGCAGTTCTGACAGTAGGTCTTTCATGTAGTTGTAGTCAGACAGGTTAGACCTGGAACAGAGGTGGTCTGGAATATCCTGGGAATGTTCAAGCCTGTCTGGACAATGAACATGTGAAAATTAGCTCAATCTCGCTAGTAATCAGGGAAATGGAATTTAAACCTCGGTGGCCTACCCCTTAGGCCTCCACCAGAATGGCTTCAATTAGAAGACTGGCAATACCCAATGTCAGTGAGAATGTGAACCAGCTCAAACTCTCATAGACTGCTGATGAGGATCTAGTTTGGTAAAACCACTTTTGAAATCTGTCTGGCAATATCACTAAATGGAAAAATTTGGAAATCCTATGACCAAGACATTCCTTTTACTGGTTTATAACCAACTGGCAAATGTCATCTAAGCATAAAAGCCATTACAATAAGGTTTATAGCAGAAATATTTGAAATAGCACCTAGAAATACCTAGAAATACCTAGAAATTACTTACTAGACATAGCAAACTGGAGACAACCCTCATATCTCTCAAGTTTAGAATGAATGAACTGTGATATTTTTATACCTTAAAATAATAAGCAGAAAAGAAAATGAGTTAATCCTATTCACAACAATACAGATGAAGATCAGAAACAATGCTCAGTAAATGATACTAAATTCAAAAGAATGCATATAGAAGTCAAGATAGTGGTCATCTTTGGGGAAAGGAGGGGAATAATGATGGGAAAGCATGAGGGGGTTCTGTTGTGTTAGCAATATTCTATTCATTGACTTGGATAATTAGTTACATTGGTGTGTTCACTTTGATAATTTGTTGAATGTTACACTTCTCTGTAAGTATAATACTTCAATAATAAGTTCATTTTTAAAATCAATGTTGAGTGCACAGTATCACTGGGGAAGACAGAAACAGGTTAGTTTGTAATTATTTTTAGTAATGCAGGTTTTTATCATTTTTTAAATGATATTGAGGAACACACTGAATAATTAGGAGAGCCAGAGAACCAGGTTTGGAGGCTTCTTCTCCAGAAAAAATGACCAAAGTAAATTCATACTAAACTGGACTGGGGGAGAAAGCCCGTTGCTGCCTCTCTGTGCAGACAGAATGTCTTTTGATGCCAACACCTCTCACACATCCAGGACTCTGGATGCTTTCTCTCCAATCACTGCTACTGCTGCTGCTGCCTCCCATCTCGAGAATGGATTTTGTGCAGCCCCCTTTTTTTTTTGGGTCCCCGGCATCTGAATGATCGTCTGGGCTTGTGCTTCTGATTGGTGGAGCCTGGGTCATGTGCAAATTCTATCTTCAAGTCAGGCTAGTGAATGAAAAGTATCTGGAATTTCATTGTTACTGTGCTTTATAAAATGTGGCTTTCAGAACACAGAAAGAAGTTTCAGATGCTGCCAAAAGTGAATGACAGATACCCATACACCCACCCGACTTGTGTGTGTGTCTTTGAGCTCGTGTTTCCAACAAGGTTTATCAGTAGGCATAGCGTTTCCACATATCTGAGCTGTTATGAAATGGTTTAGCAGTCATTTACCCCAATCGGGATTAACAGAGTCACAAGTGTCCCTCCTTCTAAAATACAGCTAGGCTTTTGTAAGTCCTTGCCTTGTTCCTGGTACTTAACCCATTCTCTGAGTGGTGTGGGAATTCTTGCCACTTAACAAAGATATCTTTACTATTTTCTGCTGTACTAGAAAATGTTAAATGCTTAGTATCCACGTTGTGGTAGGTTGTTTTTTTCTTTCTGAATTTTATTCTCATTTATCGAGTATATGACAAAGAACAATCCTGGTTTGCAAATAAGGATTTTAACGTCTTTTAGCCAGCCTAACATTATTTCCCTTAATTCAATACGCATTTCCTCCTTATATTTTAACATCTTTAAAGTCTGTTTGCATTTTATAATAAATAGAACATCATAGATTGCCAGCATTTTCTCCTTTTAGTGATATGAAAACTAGTTTTGCATCTTATAGATAATCCTATCTTAGCATTGATAAAATAATTATATTTAAATACAAAAATAATAATTAAAGGTATGTGATCGAGGTCATTGCATAATTACGCCTCCTAGTTACCAGTGTCTTTATATAATATTATAGACCTCAGACATCAAGATTTTCCAGGGAATTATACCAACCCAACACAAATCCTCACTTCTACTCCTCTATTTTTACAGCCGTGTCATTCTTTCTGTTTCTCTCAAAGCAGCACCTGCAACCTCTTCTGTAGTCTCCTGGTGGTGTGTGAATTATACAAGGGAATCCTCAGGCCAGTCATGGACCTCAGTCATCCTTCCTTCCTCAGCTCACTGCCACAAAGCCCACACTCTCCTTTTCTTACTTGATAAGTTCAAAGGGCAGTTATCCTACAAAACTACGTCTCAGATTTAAACAAATACATCATTATAGCCATGATAGTAATGCATTTTATGTCTTGTCATCCTCCATCAGAAAAATTCCCTTATTTTGCACTAATCCTTCCTTTCCCATACTGCTTGGGGATCAACCAAAACAATGGCTTATATTTGTCTAGTGACCTGTGGCTGTTGATGTGCATTTGTGTGTATCATCTCACTTAACTTTCACAACAAATGTGTGTCTATGACAGGGTGATTGTTCTCATTGTACAAATAAGAAAACAATATTTGACTAAGCTCACATAATAGTGGATGGTGGATTCCAATTTATAATTGATTTCCAGTTGTGTCTTCTTATCCACTCTGCCCTTTAATATCCAGACTCTGAATGTCTAAACTCCTTCTCTTCTATTTTTGAGTTTCCATTTAATGATCCTGTAATAAAGAATTTGAACAAACAACAGTACTTTTTAGTGTTTTCTAGCTTTATGTATAACAAAAATTGATAGACTTTATACTTGTTGTCCATTATTTTTATTAACTGATGAATTCATTTTCACTTTATCTTGAGAAATGATCCCACAAATCAATTGCTTTCAGGAGGGGAGGGATTTAGTATTTGTTTTCAACAGAAAATAAATTTTAAAGAATATACCTTATACTAACATTGATCTCACTTGCCTATAATCCTGTTTTCAACACTTCTTTTATTTCTAGTTATGTTTCGCCTCTATGATACAGACGGGAATGGCTTCCTGGACAGCTCGGTAATTTTTTTCTTCAAATTTTCTGTGAAAATTTCAAAGTAGTTTGTTCTGAAAAAATGCAATGAATAAATTTATAGCTATTACTGCAGAAGACACACTTATTATAATTTCCATGCACTCACACAGCATTTTTATCATCTGACTTTTTGAAAGAGTGTGATCTGAGGAAACTATTAGGATTACAATCGTTGTATTGAATAATTTTACTTAAAAAAAGTGACTTTTTATGCACTGAAAGATAAAAAAGATTCCAACCTCATCTGAATAAAACATAAGAGAAAGTTGAGGTCATTGATCTAGAAAGAAAAAAAATATATATGTGAGATTTGATAGTAAGGAATATATGGAGAATATGAGTAGAATTTAGAGGACTTATAAAGTTAATTTAATCATTTTATTATTTTCCCACTTTTTAAAAGTGTTCTTAGGCATATATGCTGTTGAAATAGGTAAATGTACTTATAAATTGCTTTGAGAAACCTCCTTTTTAAAATGTCTTATCCAATTTTAAATGCAACTTGCGCTATCTATACTTTTAGTCATAAAAAACAATAGAACGAAAAAGTGCCATCTCTGTATGATTTAACTGAAAGGAATAATTAAATGTTCATTTTATTTGTAGTATGGGCAAATCATTGATAGTTTTCGGAGGTATGGTTGGACTCTTAGTTCTACTGCACAAATCAGTGTCTCATATGTAAATCCATCTCAAGTTCCATCCAATAATGTATTTTATATTTGCTAATAACATTTTTTGCACATTATGTTATTTCCTGTTCTATGAAGGAAATATAAAAATATTAATAAAAGAATAAGTGTCATATTATGGAAATTTTGCAGTACATAGGTACATTAAAAAGCCAATATTTTGAGATATTTAACATTGATTAAAATAAACCTTATTTCTGATAATAAGTAAGTTTCTCTCATCCTCTGATGTAACTCTGTAAGGCAGAACTCAAAAAGACTTTTATGAGCAAAGCCATGAAGCGGGAGATTTAGTTATATAACAGTGAGTAGGATAATGGTACATTAGCTTCTCCAGAGAGAGATAAAAATATATCATTCCTACTCTAGGAAATGACCACCAATTTGAATTGATGCTGTGATTGTGGGATTTCCTATGTTTAAGTCTCTCTAATTTTTCAAATGCTATTATTTTTAAGTGCCTGGGAGTGTTCAGTTTTTCCATGTAGGAATATTAAGCTACATGATACATTTGCTCATTTTCTGGTGGCATTTCTCAACTAAGAGTTTAGATTTCTTCTAGATATTTCAATATGCTTATTGTAGCACTTCTGACTACACCAAGGCAAATTATATTTTTAATGCAGATTTGTTTTATTTAATGTTTCTTTTTAATTAAATTAAAAGGACGTTTCTTTACTAGGCATTTAGCCATGGGTTGGCAGCTGATTTGAAAATTCAGTCAAATGCTTTTTTTGGTCTCTGGCCATTTTTTTGTTAACATATAGTAGATTACTAGCAATATTTATAACTATATTCCCAACATTAATATCTATAGTCCCAACATTAAACAATAAGTTGGAGATAAATTTGTTTATAATTAAACTAGTCTTTTTTGTAATTAAATGTCTGGATTTAATTTCTATGGTTTTCTCCACACAACTTACTGCTACATTATATTTCCTTCAATATCAGGTTAAATTGCACCTTCTGATGTAATTTGTCTTGGAAATTTAAAGTTCACATATTGGAGGCAAACCAGAGGAAAATTGATACTTTGAAAAATGACAATTATGTCTAATAATACTACTTAATGTTTATTGATCACTTGCAATATGCCAGACGAGATAAATGTATTTCATGTAATAGCATGTTTAATCTTTGCAGCAATTCTATGAACTAAGATTAGAATATCTATTTTACTCATGAGGGAACTGAGTCTTAGGGAGGTTAAATGACTTATCTAATGTCACATGCCTACATAATAGTCCACCAAAAATAGTTTCTGTTCCTAAAAACATATCCAGGACTTCAATTATTCCAAACCATTAAGGCGTATATAAGCAAAGATAGAGAAGGTGAAAGATTATTAACGTACACACACACACGCAATTCTGGCCTATAATTCCAAGGGATTTGTGTTTAAAATTTTTCTTATTTATAATAAATGAACACATTTATATTTATATTGTTTCTGGGACAACTTGTGTTGCATAAATAACATTTTCATGATTACCTTTTTCTGGAGAGGGGGACTGTAGCTTTCAGCAGTTTCTCAGAGGGATCCATAACTTCCTAAAAGAAAATGTCTTTTATCATATTTCCTTCTTCATCCTATGAATATTAACTACATATATTAGATCAGAGATTTGAGTAGAATAATCTTTGATTAATATGCTTTCAAGCCTTGTTCTTTTATACTTATATTTTAAATTATCATACCATAAAACACCACTTTTAATTATGTCGTTGACTACATTTAAAATTACTAGCATTTACAAAGTATGTTTAATCTTTTCTGGAGATAAGGAAAAATTAAAACATTAAATAAATAGGTATGAAAAAATGTTTTAACTTGTTTAGCCAAACCATATGCATTGACATTTGAGCAGAACAACGTAAGAATTCTAAGTAAAATTCTATCTCCTCGTAAAATAAACTCTACATGTGCTTAGCCTCCAAACCTTGACCCTGCACATCCCTCCAACAGAGCAAATTATCCCAGTGCATGGCTAGAAAAGTCAGTATACGGTCTCCGTGCATCAGAATAAAAAATAAACCTCTCAGTTGCCCTCACACACTTCCTTCCACTCTTCCACACCTGTTTTCAAGCCAAAAGGTCGGGATACGCAGTGACTTCAAAATCACATCTTGGGAAAATATGTGTGCTCCTTTCATTGGAAGCTCCTTTCCAAAGAAAGATTTTCTTTCTCAAAAATCTTCTACTGGAAGAAAATCTTTCTTTGTATGGTTGTGCCCTCTCCTGGTGAAGATTTCTAGACAAAATGCAAAATGAATTTATATTTAGACTCTTCTTTTATGTATAGTTAATCAGACCTTTAAAAAAGATATATATATAATATATTCATATATAATAATATCAATATATACTTATTTTTATAAATTATATTGTTATTGCATAAATTATATTATATATAAGTATTATAAGTATATATATTTAGAATATAAATATAAATAATATAAAATTTATGTAAGTTTAATCATACAACTCCTTCACATGTTGAACAAACTAATTCCTGTTAAGTCAAAGTTGAAGAACTTCCTGAGACCTTGTATTCATTTTCTCTCTCTCTCTCTCCTCCAGGAGCTGGAAAATATCATCAGTCAGATGATGCACGTAGCAGAATACCTTGAATGGGATGTCACTGAACTTAATCCAGTAGGTATATGAATGACTTAACTGTTGCTAAATTCTAGAAGACCCCTTTCTCTTTTGTCTTTTTTGGAACCCTAATGTTTTATTGTCATTTGATTTTTTCTTTTGCTGACTCTAAGTTACTATTTCTAATCAGTAGGCGAAGTGGATTGTGAACAAGAAAAGGTATTTGTGGTGTTCTGAAACCGAGCAATAACTTCTGCTTTTCTTCCTCATGGAAATTAATTTGGATGGTGGTCTTACATACGTGTAGATAAACAGAAGCTGCCAATGGACACTGCCAAGGTGATACCATGCCATGACAAAAGTCAGAATTGATAAATGTTTTTTATGATCTCTGTGATTTTCCTTATATGGAAATAGCTAAAATATTCATTGTAAAATAGGATGAAGGTGATTAAGAAGATGATGCTGATAGTTTACTGCGCACGGGTCACTGGGTTGTCTTGTGTATATGTGTTATTTAATGCCTTCAACTCTCTGAGGTTGATACTGCCATTTTATTCATTTTACAGATGAGGAAATTGAGATGCCAAAATGTTAAAGCTACTTGCCCAAAGCTCTTCAGCTAATTAAAGATAGAGCTAGGGAATTTTAGTTAAATCGTTTAGAGAAATAGTATCCAACAATGCTTATAAGAATATAAAAACTTGTCATTTTCAGTAGATTGACACCAAAGTTACAACATTATTCAAATGTATATTAAAACATACTTGATTAGAAACTTTGACTTTAGCCACAAGTAATATTATGGGGAGACTTGATATATTATTGATTTTAGTTTATTTTTGAAACTGACTAAGTTTAGCAAGTTGTACATGAATCAAACAAGTACACATCAATTTTATTTAAATGGTTTACATTTTATATGAATTAAAAAAGCTTATTCTTTAATCGCAGTTCACATTTATGCAGTTAACAGCAGGATAACGGTGTGATTATGTGATGCGAGAGCTCTGATAGCATTTCCCTTGCTTTGCAAACTAATGTCAGTCAACCAAGTACAACCAAGTCATGTGCAATGTCATGCACAAAGGAGGGCACCATTCTTACTGGGACTGGGGTTTTCCTAGTTTTAACTCAACTGGTTTTTCTTTTTTGGATATGGAAATGCACATGCTGTGCACATAGTAAGTGGCAGATATCATTAACAAAGCTGCAGTTTGTATATGGAATAATAAATTAAATGGCAACATGTGTTTAATCCTAAAGATACTGCTTGATTCATCTTAATACTATTTTCTCTGAAATCAAGGGACTTATCATAAGTTCTGTAGCACTTTTTGGTTATGTTAATCTAAAATAGCTTTCTCCATCCTACTCACCTTAATACCTGAGAGTATTATTCATCTATCCATCAAGCCTCTTGTCCTCAGTGGAGTGACAGAGGAAAGGGGGATCTTTTCTATCAGCTTCCACAGTAGAAGCAGGCACCACCACTTCTCAACAAAAAATATTTGGGGGGGTTTGGGGGAGTGGGGGGTTGAGAAAAGGGGGATCTGGATGCTGTAAGGAAGGGAACAATTAGTGGCTGGGCAGTATAATTATGACAAATGACTTCCAGAAAACACAAATAATAAACTGTATAACGTTATTTGTCATTTGTGGCACACACAAGTCTGCCACTTCCGTGTGTGGTAGAAATAGTAGAAAACCAAGATCAAAGATTTACCTTGTGCATTGTGTTTGCTGTCATAGTAACGGCCTCATCTCGCCTAATGATGCAACAGCTTTCCCCATTTCAAACAAGTGTGTACATTTGTATACATTGTCAGGTCCCTATAAGTTTGCATATATGAATAAAGAGAATTGAACATTTGAGGTTGATGGCAGTTAGTAGGGAAGACTGAGATGTTCTTGGAAGAAGTTTTTTAAAAACTAACCCAGGCTCTAACGTTAGATATATTAGGAACAAAATGAAAGCATCAGCCATCTGAAACAAATACTCTGTATTTTAGTTCTCTTCTCATTTATTTCTTTCTACTACCTCATCAAGGGACAGGACATTTTAACAAGATCTTACGCCATTTGGCCAAATTCTAAGTAATTTCCCCTGTTTTTCATTTTGAGAATAATGAAATAATTACTTCAGCATCATTTTATTCCAAGAAGTCTCTTTCTTTCCAATACCTATAGATAAATTTGTTTCTATGAAGGAAAATAATCTGATTTTCAAATATTTCCTGAGAAAAGACACAAATCAATCAAGTTCAGGAACTTTTAGGCAAACAACACTTCTATCAACATATCAAATATTCCATTTATTACACCTTTTCAAATTTTTGTTCTAATGCTCTCATTTCTTTCTTTTTCCAAATTGATTAAAATTTCCATATTAGATAAAGGTGGTGAGTTATTTTCTTCACTGGAGTTCTACCTTGTGTGCCACTTTGATGCTATTAGATGGGAAATATTTCACCTGCCCAGTAGCCAAGGGTAATATGTTTAGAACTCATATACTTTCTGCTAATATAACTCTAACAACACTTATATGACACTTACAATATATGCTAGATGCTCTTTGAAGATACTTATATTATGTTAATACATTTAACCCTCACAAAACCTTTGAATTAAATACTGACATTAGCACTGTAGGACCAAGAGATAAATGTATTACAAACACACGCTGTGGGGAACATTTTGGGTCACCGTGCAAGTCATCTTTAGAAAAGAAATCTAATCAAAATTGACTTGATCATTTAAGTTCTTGGCTCTATTAAGTTCTGATAGGCAATTAAAAGCAACTTAATTCCCCCGCTCCTTACCACTTAGCGAAGAATTATTTCAGCACTTTGCCGTGAAGTTAATTTGTTCAGACATTATTTGGCATATATTCGAATGTAAGAAAATAATCTACAGAAAGCAATTAAAGGCCTTTTTCATCCTTCAATTAAAGATACCTTCTTGTTTTAGCTTTACTATTCAGTGACAAAATATTAAAATGTTAAGGAATTATTTCTAAAATAGAAATCATAAGAAAGCCACTATATCCTCAGTAATAGGATTAACATTGTACCAACTTACCTAGATATTTATGTCACTCTCTACTTGGCTGCTAGTCACAGTTTGTTATAACCAATTCCATGTAATGCTTTTTTGTATTTTATGAAATTTTTTTATTGATTCATTGCAAGTTTTCCCTCATCTCTTCTACTCCAGATCCTCCATGAAATGATGGAAGAAATTGACTATGATCATGATGGAACGGTCTCTCTGGAGGAATGGATCCAAGGAGGAATGACAACAATTCCACTTCTTGTGCTCCTGGGCTTGGAAAATGTAAGCATTTACACAGAGGGGGTGGCCCCGTCGTAAGTCAGTGGGGTTCTCTATTACACGTTTTTATTATAAATTCATCTGGCCATTTTCTACCATCAAGCATGTAGTGAGTACCTGGACCCTTTAATAAGTATGCCGCAGTGCAATTTCACAATGACTCCTTATGTAGTAATACTTGCCACGGACATACTGACTCATTTTAGGTATTACCTTATTATTTAATACATAATTTCTCTCGTTTTTTCCCTGTATTTAAAGTGCAATCTAGTTTAAAAAAAATTATTGACCTTCTCATTTTATCTAATGCAAGAAACTACCCAATATTATTGCATCTGTGGTTCTTGTGGTGCTCCATCTCATTCCATAGTCCCCTTCCCCTGAAGATAAACTATTTTATTGATAACCCACACTTGGAGGAGCCAATTATATCTCAAGATTGTTGAGAGGAGATATATGTATCTATATATAAAATAAAATTATATGTATATAAAATAAAATTATATATATATAAATAGAAAAAAAATAAGTTTTTACCTCAAAATGTTATCCAAGCACATGCATACTTACTAGAACCACATTTCTCAAGGTAATGGAAAAAAAAGGAATTTAACTTACATACGAACAGATCAACCAGGCTTTCATTTTAAACCTGTCAAAAGTTTTCTTATATCAGTGCCTCCAGTGGTAATTAAATCCTGGTTAGGGGAATAAAATAGATCAACCTCAGCTCAGAATGTGGTAGATAGTGACTTTGAAACCATATCTTGATGTCTCAGCCGTGATGTGAATTTCAGCAATAGTTAATTTAAAAATCCAATGAGTCAATACTAGATTTTTGTATTTAGCATTAATAGTTAAACAAAATTACCTATAACATACATATAGTAAAATGTATCCTTAAATTCAAAGGGTATTACTAATGGAAAGCACCATGATACATATAATATTTAGCGTTTTGAGATGCAAGAACTGAGCATCCACCACTTTGCTGCTGACCCCAAAACTTTCATACTTTTTGTTACTAGCAATAACAGTTTTGCAGATTCAAGACTAGATCACAATCATTCAAGATACCAAGATTTTAAAAGTCGGCCCTCAGGAAATCTTACAGTCTGTGTTTGTAAAACATGTGAGAGTATATACAAATATGTTTGTACATATTTACACATGGATTTGGGAATATATAAATGGGCTTCAGGATAGCAGCATTTTTCTCTTTTTCATCTGGATCTTCAAATTCTTTTGCATCCAGGCCCATGGGATTTTAGACATGGTCAGAGGGAGGAAAAGAAAAATTACTAATAGGTGATATATAGGAAATTACCCTCAAAGTAAACAATTTATTAAAACAAAGATAAATATAGATCTTACTAATAGATATATATTTTTACATTTTGAAAATCAATAAAGCAATATTTCTTTGTATCTGATGTTCTTATACTATACATAACCTAGTATCTTTTTTGTAATAACTTATATCTCTATACTAGAAATATTTGTTCAATATACCTCTGACAAAAGCATATCTAAATCAGACTATTGGGAGAAAACAAAAAGAAATTTGACAAAATGTTCACTTTTTAAGATTTAGTGTGTACTTTAAGCAGAAAGATAGTTGTCAAAGCCTAGTCAAGAAGTTCTAATAATAATGGTTCCCTAGAAGGGAATTTTACATTTTTAAAGCTAAAATTTTGTTTATTCTAAATATTTTTGGAAATTCTAGTATGACAGAATGAAGGAAGATGCAGGAATGAGTAAGTAAACCATTTGGTAGTTGGGGTGTTGGATAGGAAAGTGCAGAAATGGAGATTTAGTCATCTATATTTTAAATATCACAGAAAGATTTTGAAATGATGTTTTTCTTTGGAAAAATGATGTTTAGAAATTCTTTATAATTAGACTCATAAATATATATATTTGTGAAGTTATGAAGATAGCATGGGTAAATATAGTCCACAAATCTCTATGGATTTAACTCAAAATATTTTAAACACATACAATACCTCATTAGTTGCTGGTGTAACAGTAACTTTATTTCAACTGAATGACAATTTTTTTGTCATTAATGTTAATCAGGTTACTGATAAATAATTTACTTTATATTCATATTCTTAAATTTATATTTTGTGTTTCTAGTAAAAACAGATGTTTTTGGAGTGTAATAGGAGAAATGAATTTAGGGTTTCAAGCCAGCATCCAGAGCGGTGTTCCCAAGCTGTGTTCCCAGTGGTGGCCACTAGATGGCAGGCCCACATTGTTTAACATTTGTAAGTCAACTTAATTATGAGATTGGATTTTTCACGTTTAAAGAACAGTTCTGAGAGTAATATCCCTCTTCCTTCACTTTTAAAAAAACAATAAGCCAAAAATCTTTTAAATTGTCTTTTAATAAAAATGTATAAGCCATGTAATTACGATCACAAAACAGAGCATTTATTTGTTAGAAACAGCTTTTTAATTCCAAGGCATAACAAATGTTTTACAAAGGAGGAATGACACAATGACTACTGAGTGATGAGGACCTTTTTTTTAGTAATTGAGATTTATTTATTTCCTTTTCTGTAGGCAGTTGATGTGTTTTGTTATTACCTGTAGAGAATTTGATTCATGGTGCCATTTCTCCCCCACTTTTGCTTATCAAATTGGAAATCTAGAAGCGTTAGGTTGAATCCAGCCTTTTATTGTGGGGCGTGTCTTGTTATGTTGTCCTATATATACTTGTCTATTGTCAATTATGAGCTCAGGGAGTAGATTCTAATTGATAGTGCGTGTTAAATACCACAGTGCATTTGAAAATGACTGCACTCTACTAGCCAAATTACCCAGATAAGATGATTGTCCTGGGAGAGTAGTCCTCACTTCTAATATAAGGCAGAGCAATTGTGATTTCATCGTAGTTTATTTTTCTCCATCAACAGAGTTTTAAAAGCTACTTTATTTTAAATAATATCTGTTTTGGTGCCAAAATCAGAAATGTAGTTTATCAGGACCCGATTCTATATCAAATGCTAGAGAGTAAGAGTCATTTCCTTTGTCTTACAAGAAGTTCTTCAAACTTCATGATACTCAGTATGAAATGATACAGTCTCTTACACCTGAAGGAAAATTGAGAGTTTGGGTGGCATATGTGATTTTGATTACGATAAAAAATTTAGACGTGAGCCTTATTCACTCTTCCTTCAGCATTCATCTCATTGAAGAATTACTTTTAAAAAACATCTAAATTTTTGATCAAAATGCTTTTCTTTTTTAAATAACTGTGTCTAGCAATAAACTTTGCTCCAGTGACTGACAAACTTTATCTGTAAAGGGACAGATAGTAATTAAGTTAGTTTTTTGCAGGCCATAAGGTCTCCCTTGCAACTGCTTAACTCTGCTAGCATAGCACAAAAGCAATCACAGACAGGACATAAATGAAAGAGCAAGGCTATGTTCCAATAAAACTTTATTTACAAAAACAGGTTGCTGGCCAGATTTGACCCAAGGACCATAGTTTGCTGGCCCCTGATTTATTCTATCACTAATTTGTCATATTGTGAACAGAAAGAGTTTTAATGTATCTTTAGTCATTTAGGAGAAAGGAATCTAATACCTTTTATTTAGCTCAATTAGACAACCCCAGCATGTCATGAGGACTAATGAAGAGAGAACACAGTGAACTTCATCAAATTGGTCTTCACCCTGGTTCTGTAATTAACTAACAAGGTCATTTTGTGCCAGCCGATTATTGTCTCTGGACAAAGAAAAAGAAGTTTGTTAAGACGATCCCTTTCCTTTTACATATTCTTTCAGTTCAAACGTTCCTTTTCCTAGATGAACAAGATAATTAATAACGCTCCAGTTACTGAAATCTGTAATCTTGGATCATTTTTAGATTTTTGAAGGAAAATTCCTGAATTCATATTATCATAAAAACAGGAATACACATTTAAGTAGGAATCTGGCTTGAAATAAGGATACCTTAACTTAGTATTGGATGGCTTTGCCCACATCTGGCCTAGATGGTTTTTGAATGGATATAATTTTTATTTCACTGCATATGCTCACAGAATCCTGATCTTTAATCCCTATGCATTGTTTAAACTTTACCATTAATTGAAATGTTTTAGGACACATTTTTTTGCCTGACTTAATAAAATAAAAGTAATTATTTGGTTTGCCTCCTGATTTCTGATGAAATGTGTTCCCTGATGAAATTTCTGAGCGTGGTAGAGAGCAGAAGATCATGTATTCTTAACAGACTAAGATATATTTGGTAAACTAATGTTTTACACTCCATTTTTTTAAATTTAACTTAATTAGGTTGAGCTGTTCTGCTGCTGTTTATATATTGCTCAATCTAGAAAAGAGTTATAAAGCTGGATAAAAACAAAAATTCTTGAGATTCCAGATCGGGTCATTCAAAGAAAATGACTCTGTGGTGTTAGGCGCTGTTGAGTTTGCATGTGAACCTTGAGAATGGCAGGGTCTGGGCCTGACTTCAGAAAGTGTGACCTAGAGACAGCAGTTGACTGCAACTCCACTCACAATTTAAAAACTTCTCTCTGCATTCTCTTTGCCTATGCCTGATATACCTCATCTTTTTGTTTAAAAGAGCAGTTATTTTCATATTGTTATAATTTCTTGGAGACCTTGAACAGAAAGGTAAGGTAATTTAGCGGTGCTTATTATTTAATGAGTTGGAATTAAATTGCACCATTTGCTGTTCTGTGTGTTATAAGTGAAGTCAGTTGAAGCATGGATATGGCTAGGTGTGGGGGTAGGAGCATTTTGGCTGTGACATCAGTGAAATTTCTCCTTGAGGTCTTTTTAAAAAAGCATATTCTTTATAATAGCCCTAGTTCACTTGAATACTATATGTGATCTTGGATGTATTTAGGGAAAAACAAAAACTTGCGAAATCACTAGGATAATGAAATAGGTTTCAAAAAGTTCCAAAGGGCATTCTTCCCTTTGAAACCTCCCTTTGACTTCTAAGGATTAAAAGGGGAGGAAGAACCTGGGGCTCCTTCTCAGTGTGAACTTGCCGAGGTTTCATTAAACATTTCTCTGTCGTAAGCACCGAACTGAACTGCTTCATTATAAAATACAGTGTTTTCTAAATATCAGGAATAAATTTCTGTTCAGAATAATGTCTGGTAATGAAAAAATCATGAGAACAAAATGTTTGTGAAATAAGTATAGTAAACCTGTAAACATCCTTCTCAAATCTTTTGGCTGAAACATTGGGATGTTACACAACTTGACCCAATGATGGTAATAATATTTGCTGTTTATATAACACCAGTCTTCTGGGGAGCTAAACTGACTTCACAGGTATTGTATAATGAAACCTCACGCCATGGCCTGGGAGAGGAAAGAGGGTACTTTCATTTTATTAGAGAGGAAAATAAGAAGAAAGGTAAAATGGTTTATCTACCATTTCATAGTAGGCCAGGAATCAAGGCTTCCAGATTCACTCTTCATTTCTTTTTTAAAAAAAATAAATTCCTTTCTATTACAATAAATATTTATTTGCAATAGAAGTATTAATAGGAATATGCTCTACTAGCTGATAGAATATAGTAAGAGGCAGATTCTCCCCCTCCCCCACTAAGTTTACAATCTGAATAAGACAAACAAGACAAGACATGAAAATACAGAGAGTTGGAGTGTAATTTGCACTGCTGAGAAGTGGTTGGCTCCTGGTTTCAATTTCTTCTCTTGAAGTCACATACATATTTCATCCTTTGCATATTTTGGCAATGTATCCGGCTAAGAGCTATAAAGCTATTTAATTTGTTTTTTGGTAAAGCATTTTATGTCTGGGTAATGAATTTGTACATCAGTTGCAGCCTGTAACATGGCTAAGTGTTCTGATTGACAGAACACCCACGTTCAGACTTGTTTATTTTTTGATAAGGAAAATGCCAGTTAACTTAGTCCATATGTGCTCTTCAACAGGATGAGGCTTATTCACATGTAATGGACAATCATTTAAAAACATAATGATAAGGATTACAAGAACAGTAATACGTATGAAAATTAGATTTTTCCCTTCTCCATTTCACTTAAAATTTTTTTAAAGCATAGAACTGCTAACTTTATCAATATATTTTTTAAAATTAACAACCCCATTACTTAAACTTTTCACATCAGGAAGTTTTATTCTTATTTGAAGGAATAAAAATTTAAAAATATAGTCAGCTTGGAAAATATAGCAAAGTTAAACAAATATATAAAGCATACCATTCATATAATAAAGACTCTAGAAATCTTATGACTCAAGCAAACCAGAACTGGATTCAGAAATTATTACAAAGCCTATTTCTTAAGTTTTGGAAGAAAATTGAAACACCAATATCTTCTGGTGTCCTCCCCATGATTCCTTCTGCAGAATTGCTTTTGTTGAGAGCTTGTTAGTCTTTTATAAGAAGAATGAATCTGAGCATTGTCAACAACAGTGAAGGGTCTGAGAGTTACCCTACTTGCAAGTTAACACGTTAGCTTGCCACAATTTCATAGATGCTGGCAGAGGACATGAGACACCTGGGTCAGAAACAAAGGACTTGTTTTCTCACAGCAAAGCAAGTAGTGGGAGCTTCATTTCTGAGCCAGTTCCCTGGCCCACAAAGTCTCATAGGGGCAATGGGGTGCTGCCCAAGTATTGTCTGGACAGCATCAGAGCTTGGAACCCATGGCTTGGGGAAACTAAATCTTTGATAATGTTCAGTAAACAAACCTGCTTAACCTTTGCTTAAAAGGGAGAGATTATTTTTATTATACTAGACGGTAAGTAAACTTGCCTCTGCTCTGAGGGGAGACACATCTCTATTGTCCAAGGTTGTTTGTTACTCAAACATCTTCGAAAAGATAGCCTGAAAAAAAAGACAGTTCTTCTGCTTACAAAATGTGGAGAAATTCAAGAGACCCACAGAGAATTATCTCCCAGGAAGCTATTTCATTAATGTTTCCTATTATGATGCAAATTTGACATTTCTGGTTCTAATGTAAGAAGTAGTTACTGTGAATTTACTTGGGTACCTCAGCTTGGGTGGTTTACCTCTTGACTGGGAATAGGAAAAAGTGGTTAGGAAGCATTATTATTAATATTTTATTATCAAGAGAAACAAGATGATCTGAACATGTTTATATTGTTCCACTACTATAGAATCTGTATTAGTGACCCAGCACATAGTAGGTGCTCAAAAAATTATTAGGTGAATGTATTCTAAGAAATATGACAACTTGAAAAATGTCCTGTAGTGGTTTCTATAGAATACCAATAAATGATGTCTAAAATTAATCTGAGTTTGATACAATTTTGCGACTGGTATACAATGACTACATGTTGATGGAGAAAATGTACATATAATAGTCATGTATAATAACTTCATTTGCTATCTTGACCTTCTTGTAAAGAATTCAAGAGATTCATAAGCATCATGTTATTTCATTTTATTTCAATCTTGAACAATGCAGATGTAATTAAATACCCATTAGAGAAGTAGCTATTATGATATTATACAGAGTTTTACTTGGAAGAGTAAATAATAATTACAGTGGTTTTGCTAAAATGTGAATTAATTTAAACTCAAGGTTTTATTGAAGCATATAACTGTAGTGATTGTTATAAATAAATACAGTAATACAGTTTTAATATTTTTACCACCTTTCTATGAGGTTAAAATCATTCATATTTTAAAAAAGAGGAGTAAACAAAATAATGATGTAATTAGGTACTTTGAAAAGTTTATCTTTTAAAATTTACTATCTGAGACATATAAAAATATATTAATGTAAATTATAACATATAAGGAATCCCCAACTGAAGCCTTAGAATATCACCAATAACTTGCCTTTAAGTATTGTTTTCTTCCATCCCTACCCATCCCTCTGCCTCCTTATAAGACCTCACCACCATCATGAAATTTGCGTATTCCTACTACTATGTAAGGGTTAACATATTCTTTCCAAGTTTTCATTTCTCAGGCTCTTCCATTCAAGAGTATTTTCTCTTTCTTTATTCGTTTATTTGTCTATGGAATTTTGCTAAGTAGAAAGTATTCAAAGGCGAGGCAGACATGTCCCTGTTCTTAGGGAGTGCTCAGTTTGGCAAGTCATTATGATGGTTTGGGACATGCTGTTGGACTGTTGACGTTAGACAAGAATTTGTGGGTTGCTATAGCATCCGAGATTTGTTAGCAGGATCTCATTCCACTAGAGCACATGTGTTTTTCTAGACTCTGTGGCGATCTTGGAGAAAGTCCGGGATGAAATAACAGATTGTCTTCAAATGCTTCAGTCCAGCTCTGAATTTTATTGGCACTTACATATTCCACTGTTTATTTCATTAAGTGAAATCTGTTTCTCTTATACCCCGTGCAGAACGTGAAGGATGACGGACAGCATGTGTGGCGACTCAAGCACTTTAACAAACCCGCCTACTGCAATCTTTGCCTGAACATGCTGATCGGCGTGGGGAAGCAGGGCCTCTGCTGCTCCTGTGAGTATGTTTGCTCTGCCCAGATGTCATCACCTCCAGTGAGGAAAAGTTGATTTCACGGAATAATCCTATTTGTAGATGGAGACCTAAGAATAATCCTGACCCTTCCTGTACCTGTGATTTATATTTCCCTGCGGTGTGTTTCTGAATGTTTAGGTCATTCTACTTTTAACTTTCTTCGATTTTGGGAAAACTTCCCCTTGGAAAAGAGCTAAGGACATTTTCCAATTTGTTAGCCATTTTCTTTCCAAAGTGGTTTAATTTATTCACGATTCCCATTTCTTCCCATTTTATTATAAAAATTTCCACATTTGTCCTTTTTTTCCCCTAAGATAACCACTTTATACACATTGACTTCTTATAATGAGTCAGTTCCTTCAGGTCTTTTAAAAAACAATTAGGGGGCCGGCCTGTGGCTTAGCGGTTAATGTGCATGCTTTGCTACTGACGGCCCGGGGTTCGGATCCCGGGCGCGCACAGACGCACCGCTTGTCCGGCCACGCTGAGGCAGCGTCCCACTTATAGCAACTAGAAGGATGTGCAACTATGACATACAACTATTTACTGGGGCTTTGGAGAGAAAAAAGAGAAAAAAAAAAAGGAGGAGGATTGGCGATAGATGTTAGCTTAGGACCGATCTTCCTCAGCAAAAACAGAGGAGGATTGGCATGGATGGTAGTTCAGGGCTGATCTTCCTTACCAAAACAAACAAATAAATAAATAAATAAAATAAAAAATAAAAAAACCAATTAAATTAATTGATTATTGATTTGCATTCAAATTAAGAAGTCACAAGGAATACAAACTAATCTTACACCTCAAGTCCATGATTTTTAATGTTATCATGAAGAAAATCTTCATATATATGGTTAATAGATATTGGAACCCAAAGCATCGCCAGTTCATGAGTTGTGGTCATTAATTTCATTTCAGTGCTTATCTTTGCAATTTTCATTTTATTCTATTAAGCACTGCCCAATAGAATTTTCTAATAGTACAGTTAATTATTATTAACTTATTTAATTTATAAAATTCACCTAAGTATTTTTAAATCAACAACATATATGTCTAAGAAACTTTTGTGTTCCCTGACGCTCCTGTTAGAACAGAGGGAATATTGTGTTCTTCTCACCTAAGTGTCAAGTTTTCTGTGGTCCAGCAAATTGTTCACCAGGCCCTTTTCTGCTGTGTACAGAGTTACTGAAACTATCAAGCTTATTGGACACATCCCACTTGTATGCATTTATATGGAATCTAATTTCTCACCTGGCTTCCGTACAATGCATAATTTTCAGGTATTATTTTTAGCTGGCAGCTTCTTTGGGAGTATAGTTGAGAATTAACCTTCAGATGTAATATTTGACATTAAAAACCATCTTTTAGTGCCACACTTAAGTGATATTTTTAAGTGTTTAAAGATTTGTACACAGTTACGTGAAATTACCATATGTCACTTCTGAAGGCACTTTCTGGTGGCCACGTTTGAAAGGCTAGTTACACTAGAACATTCTTCATGGACAAAAGAAGGACTTGTTTTTACAGTTCTATTATTTTTAAGGAAAATAATTTTTCATGGTAGATTCTATGGTGGAAGCGTTTGAGACAAAATGATAACTCTCAAGTAAAATGACTGATGTTATATAGAAAGCGAGAATGTTGTTCACAAATTTTAACTGATTAGTGGCGAATGCAATACTCTTAACATTATTGCCAATCTGGAAGAGAAGGAAAACTATGTTTTCTTTCTAAATGCTGCCAAAGGAAATCACAGGTGTGGATATTTTGTAAGAGTTTTACCATATACTATAGTATATATAGTAATATTTATATATATATAAATATTATGTGGATTAAGTATTTTTCATTCTAATTTCATGCAGTGGTTAGTTTTTGCTTTATTGAGAGGGCTACATAGTCATTTTTGATTTAATTTTTATTCTGTATATTTATGCCTTTAGAATTCTTAATTTGGAATTAGTGTTTTATTAAAATATCTGTATATGACTAAGTTATATTGGAATCAAGCCATGAAATAATTTGAAGATGCCAATAAAGTATATGTCTTGGTTTTATGTCAGATTATATATATGTGTGTGTGTGTGTGTGTGTGTGTGTGTGTGTCTGTATATGTGTATATATACACATTTGCATATAAATGTAAAATTTTGCACATATATATATATCTTGTGCTGCTTAGCAAAGGTTGTTCCTTTTGGACAAACAGTGCCATGATGGCAAATGAAGGATGAACTTTTACTGAAGGCTTGGCATATATGATGAAATCTATTCTCTGCAAATAAACTAATCAGCCATTTAAGATTTAGATAAATCAATAGACAAAGTAGCATAAACTCATGGGCTTTTATTCCCATGCCCGCCAGCTGCTCTCATGCCTATACTTTGTAAAATATAGATCTCTTCCTTCTAGCAAATGACACCAAGCCATTTGGCAGTCATCAATTTGTCTTTAATATTTTTGTCATCTGGGAATTATTGTGAAAAATTTGAGTGAGGCCTGATTTAATTAAGCATTTCCTGCTATGCCGTGATAGAAGAGTCTTGGTTTTTCGCATGCATAATACTTCCTGTACTAATTGGCCTTTTGTATTCCATGGAAAAAACAGTCGACTTGGACTTTTCCTTGATGTGGCTGATTGGATTGATTAGGGAACAGTGGGTATGAAATGAGGTTCTGTTAATGTCATTCTTTCCCTATAAAATCGTAATCAGGACCAGGATTAGCTCTGAATTTGTGTACGTTTCCTTTCAGTTTGCAAGTACACAGTCCACGAGCGCTGTGTGGCTAGAGCGCCTCCTTCTTGTATCAAGACTTACGTGAAGTCCAAGAAGAACACGGATGTAAGTATGTGGCCGTGCGTGCTTTCTGAGGGTGGCATTTACGGATGCCTCCTTTTACCGCAATGTTCTTGTTCTGTTCTAGGTCATGCATCATTACTGGGTTGAAGGCAACTGCCCAACCAAATGTGATAAGTGCCACAAAACAGTCAAATGTTACCAGGGCCTGACAGGACTGCATTGTGTTTGGTGTCAGATCACAGTGAGTAACATCAGAACACGAATCTCCAGCATTCACTCACAATGAAAACTGTGTATCCCATACTCTCTAAGAGTCCTACCCTGGAATATTATCCTGAATGTTAGCCTAAGTCAGTATAACACCATGAAGGCTTCTTATCTCATGTGGCTCCTAAAGGAATAAGAGTCCAAGTCAGGTTTGTCCTCCTAAAATCCAGAATTTTACGGCTAGTGACAACCTTAGAGATGATAACACTATATGGCTTTCAAACTGTGGTCTCTGGAGTTCTGCAAGTTACCAGGAAGGTAATCAGAAGCCACAGCCAGGGGTGGGCAGTGAGCGTAGGATGCTGACTGGGGAAAGCTCAGCTCTCCCTCCACCCCACAACACTATTTTGGTAGAGTTTTCTGTTTTATATGTTGTAAATTTATTTTAATCACAGAATCTATGGGCTTAAATCTATGGTCATGGCTTGGTAGAGATGCAAGTGGGTCCATATTTTATTTCTCGCTATGTCTAAGAACTCACTTAACCCTTCTTCACATGTTATTGTCTTCAGTTAAATCATGAATTCAGAGATCAGAGATATAGATGTAAATGCTAATCGTTAATGGTATTGACAATTGGAAAAGAAGATGTAAATTGGTCCTTCCTGGGAAAATTTAGAACTCCACCTGATTTTCATGATTGATCAAAGCCTGCTTCAAATAACTTCTGGAATAAATGCAGGTAGTAGATGGTACCTCTAGTGTTTCATGTTTAACTTCTGGGAATTAATCAAGAATAGCCATTGTTGGCAATATAGTACGAAAACATTTCTGGGACTGGGTCCCCCCCCCCCATTTTGTTTTTTTTGTTTTGTTTCTCCAGCTAGTGTATGAGTCCTCTTGTTACAGGACGAGTGGTTCTTGCTTTTGTGGGAATAAAACAGTAGGAGCACTGATTCAGTTAAGCAAATAAGTTTGTCTGAGTGCCCCTCAAACCCTCCTACCATCATTAAAAATCTTTTCTTAAAGGCACACACACATACACACAGGATAATGAGAAAAACAAACTCTGACTTGCATTTCAAAAATACAATTAAGTACTTTTTTAAAATGAACACATTTTCTTCAATCATTTTCAGCTACTGCTCAGTTAAATTATATTTACATTTGAAATTTCCTCAATTATGATAGATAGTCTAATTTTTTGAAGTGTTTGGTTATTATAATAAAATTTCTAACAATGATTTAAATTACACATATGAATTACTTAAATATATTGTGTTCTAAGTTTTAAGAAGACCACAACTAATTCACTTTTTAAAAAATTCATGCACATCAAAAAAATATTAGGTTTTTTTTTTTTGCTAAGCATCTATAAAAATACATAGTTTTTGTTTTAGATCTTGTAGGAGTCTGTTCCTCTTATTTTCCCCATATAGTGCAGCTTTCATTAGTTACATCTTTAATATGAACTGAATTTAGAGAATATCAGAATTTATTTCTTTTTTGTATTTCTAGTTATTTTCTCATTCTTTGTAAATTTCAAATGTAATGTCTTAGGTTTATTATTTTTCTTTTCTTTTTTTTATTTCTTGAAAAAACATCAATGTGTTTTAAATGCGTACTTAGCTTGAACACTCTAAAAGTATACATTGCTACCTCTCATATACAAAAGCTTGTAGAGCATTAGAATTTTCTCAATTTGACTCCTCTCCTCCTTTCCCCATTTAATCTTCATAAAGTATATCTTTTGCCCTTTTCAGTCTATGGGAGTCACTCTCCTCAAAGTTACCATTGCTAGTGGTCTCTTATTGGTACTCAAAGCATCCTGAAATTCTTTTCTTGTTTTATATTCCATTTTGTTTTTCTCATTTTCTTTCTTTCGTTTTAATGATTCCTCTCATCTGTGACTCCAAGATCTACATTTGTAGCCCAACTACTCACCCGGTTATACACTTATATTTGGTCTTGAACCTGGCCATAGCCTTGCAAGAAATTAGTCCTTCCTTTTACAGGAAAGATGGTACTACCTCTGAATAAACTATACTTTTTAAAATCTAAATATTTCATTTCCAAATCAATTCAAACAATACGCCCCTAACGTCTTACTCTTATTTAAAGGTCAATGTGTACATGAAGATGATTCTATTTGTCACTGGCAGAGTATAGCATGAACTGTAAATGACTTTAAATCCCCGAGTTCTACTCAGAAAGTAAGGCTGCCCTGGCAGCCCTGAGGGGTTAAGGCACAGTCGGGACAAAATGGCTGCCCTCTTATGAAGCTCTCCCAAGTCCTGAGGCTTCTGACCAACCTCAGCCTTATTTGCCGTAAACCATGCTCTCCAGGGGTCCCATGGTTACTTGGTTTATGAAAAAAGACTTGTGCAATTAAAAAAAGTTTGCATATATTCAGAAGAATATATAACCTTCTCAAAAGTAACTTCAGCCTCTGCACACTTTGCATTTTTTATTTAAAGCAATTATGAGGATGCATTTATTGATTGATTTTGTACCTAGGTTAAAGAGAATATATTTACCTCAGGACATTTTTATATTTAGTATAATCTATCGTTTCTTCTTGAACCACTGTATGAAAATTTTAGTAGAAAGTTGATTTGCTCTTCACTGATGTGTACCTACCACCGACTGCCTTGAAACAAACTGAGTCTACTTTATGTCCTTATACTTCCCAGAAAGTACCACTAACATAGCAAAGAGCTAGCCCAGATGTGAAAGTGAGGGATATGGCACCGTCAATGCTAAGCTTTAGGAAGGCCTATCCGATTGGAGTTCTGGAGGAATAGATCACAGAGCAAAACAAAGAGAAGGAAACTTGGCTTCATTTCAGGGGTTTTCCAAATTCCATTACTTCTTTTTGTGTATTACTATGAGACATGGCTTGAGTCTTATAAGCCAGATGGACCAGATTCTTAAGATGGTCTCTGTCCGACAACTAAGACAAAAGTGGTTGTTCAGCCTTGGGCCAGTTTCCTAATTTGTAAAATGGAGTTAATGATACCTGTCTTGTAGGATTGTTATAAGAATTAAATGAGTAAAAAAAAAATTGTGTAAATGTGTTTAGAACAGGACCTCTGATATAGTAAGTGTTCAGTAATTGACAATTATTGTCACAGTGAAAACTCGGTAAAATATCATGTTGGTGCACAAAACCCAACCCCCTGGCTCATAGAGGGCACTCCATGAATATTACTCATGCCATGAATATTATGGCATGAATACTCACTCCATGAATACTACTCACCTCTGGTAGGATCTGTATTTGCCCAGTCTAAGTCAGAACAGCACCTGCATGTTCTAAAAGCATCCAGAACCATGTGGTCCTGAATCTCACTAAATCTTAGACTAAGCTGATTTATTTATGTTCACAAAGAGCAACTATTCCAACTCTCTCTTTTCCATCAGACATGGTATCATCATGCTTGTAGTCATTGGAAGTGTAGTTAGAAGTCAATTTCTTTTATTCTTATCTTTCACCTTTATCTTATACATTCAACCTGTCGCTGAGCCTTGAGATTTCCTCCTTAAAATATCTCTCTCAGATTTGAGTTTTTGTCTCCACCGTTCGCAGCCCAAGTGCAAGCTCTTAGCACCTCTTAACTAGATTAGAGTCAGAATCTCTTGGCTTATCTCCCTAACAGAAGGTACTTTTCCTATAACGCAGGCTGCAAACCACCTCCAGAATCATCTTCTGAAAATACTAATTTGTTGTCATATGGCACCTTCAGCAACTTATAATAGTTCTGTGATAATAAATGCATCCCTCACCTCCTCCTACCCCGACCTGGTTTTCAGTTCCTCAAATATCAGACCCAAACCTAAGCCCATGACGTATGAAATATTCCCCTCTATGCAAGCACCTGCTAGAGCTGTGCATATCCGTTGGCAGGCCCTGGGAAGGCCATGCCTCCCCACTCCCTGTTATTTTGCTCACTCTCTCCCTTGAACATACCCACTTTAAATTCTAACCACACCTCAAGAACAAAATTAAGTTCCATATCTTCCTTGAAATCTTTGTTGACACTAATATTTCTTTTTTCTGAATACTTTCTCTACTTTTGGTCCATACCAAAAGGAGAGACTGAAGTGCTCTCCAGCGGTGCTTTCAAGTCTACATGCTAACGTTGTCTACATTGATAGACTATAATCTCATTCAGCTCTGGATCCAACATACACATTTTTTTCCTCATCACCCAAAGTTCTTGAGGGAGTGCTGAGTTTAGAGGAGGTCCTCAATAAGTTCCCTTTAATGACTGATACACTACTCTTCTTACTGTTAAATATTGAATTTTAAATGCATGATTTAAATTCTGTTTTAAAAAAAAATCATCCTGTAATATTCAAATCTGCATCAGATATACAGGCAAGTTTAGACAAATACTTAGAGATAAAAACCCATTTTAACACCCCTCGTTTAGTCAATATTGTGGCTTCTTAATATTACACTAGTTTGTCATCTAGTAGGTATAAAGTTAGGATCTTAGAACCGAGCTTTACCTCCTTTTGTAAATTTAATCACTTAAAAAAATAAAAACAGAAAAATCCTAAGTAAGAACAGTGTAAACTATCTTGTAACCTTCAGACAACCATTTTCCAGTGATTTGTAATTCAATCCTTTCAGCCAGGCTCAATATCCTCATTGGTTCTCTGTTCCTTCTCTTGTTTACAGTCTCTGATCCTTAGACCCCGCTGTTTATACCTGTTTATTTCTGCTGTGAGTGTGTTTCCTTGACATTCTATTTAAAACATTGTAATTTGCTCCTGGTTTTAATAAAATGTCCCTCAAGCAGGACGTACTGGGACAGGAGGATGATACATTTCTTTCTTACAAAAGAAAGACTATGTTATAGCTATGAATTATTTACTTTTAGTATCAAGTATGGCTACTATTTTAATTAAAATATCAAGCTCCTAACAGTAGTGTTTAAAGGTTTTCAATGCTTTTAGAACAGAAAGGTTTATCTTTGGTAAATGCCAGCATTAAGGCAGCACCCTGAAATTGCAAAATGTTAGAGACAAAAGGATATATAAACTGACACATGTTCCTCTAAATCAGGTCGCTTAGTTTTTTTTTTTTTTTTTAAGAAGAATGACTTCTTTCTCTTTGTCTTTTCCTCTAAATTCTCATGAAAATTTATTTTCTATTTTTTCTTTCTCCTTTTGGCTTCTTAGTTTCCATTGCTTTCTTCGCAGTACAATATCCCCAGTCTTTTCTCAACTCTATCCATAAAGATACACACACGGCACTCATACACTCATGTTTTCTACACACATTTCATACACTCACATGTTTTCTTTTTCTTCCTGACTTGAGATAGCTTTTTCCAATAAACACAGATCTGGCTCTAAATTAGGTGCTATTGGAAATTGCCATAAACTTTGAAATTATTTCCAAGTGTTTAAATTGCTTCCAGGAAAAACTGGTTCATAGTTCATGAATTTCCTAGATATGAGTCTGATTACCTTAACACAAATGGGAATTCCTCCCATTGGCTCCACTGGCCATTTCATTGAAGAGGCAAGATTTGTCAATGCTCCGGTTTATTTCTGTTCTTGATGAGGATCTTTGTATTTATGCCTTCACTAACTTGGGATCTGGGTTGTCTTTAAGAGAATTGTCAGTCTTCAGCATCTTCTTGACACTGGGAAGGACTCAGCTGTGTCTTTTTCTTATATCCTGGTCTGTAAAATGTCAAGTTTCAGCCACTTGTTTTTGTTGCTGATTGTGTTCACTTTTTTTTCCTTTTTAAATTTTTATTGAAAAATAACATACATGCAGAAAAGTATAAGTATCCTAAAGGTAGAGCTCAATGAGTTTTGTGCAAAAGAATACACACGTAATCAGCACCTGATCAAGAAACAGAATAATACCAGTAACCTAAGATATTTTTTGGGGGGGTGGAAGGGGCTTTTAAATTCTATTCCATGGTTTCTATTTTGTTAATATTGCCTTTTTTTAGTAGACTTTATTTTTTAGAGCAGTTTTAGATTCACAGCAAAAATAATGTTCACTTTTAATCTTGATAAATAGTCCTGGGGACTGTAAGTATTTTCTCACTGGCTTTCACGTTTATGTTTACGTCTCTGAGCAATATGGTGAATAAAGTAGACCTGCTATACAGATTTGGCTCACAGTTTCTAGACTGATCAGTGTTTCCAACATGGCTTCCTCAGCTTCGACACTTCTGGCTATGAACTATGTCATGATGTTGATGGCCTCCCAAATATATTTAGCAGCTGTCAGACTCCAGTCTTAATAAAAGTATAAAGTATCCTTGCTCCTTATTAGTTAATATAGACTTTTGGGTAGGAGAATTTTCTTACACTGTGTGTCCCTGTTTCACTGAACATGACAAGGTTACCGACCTTCCTATAGGCTCTGCTACATGCATATGTTCCTGCAGGACTCTGCCTTGCTGCTGCTTAGACAAAACTCAGGGATATGGGCCACATGGCACTCGAACTGGAAAATCCATGCTAGTTTTATTTAGCTCTGAAGAAATCAGTATTTCATGGGACTAATTGTCAGTACCTATACTCTGAAACCCTCAAACCTCAATATGAAGAGTTACCCTCTACACACAGACTCTGTTCAGCTCATCAACTCTGTGATTCTACCTAGGTCCTCAGTTCTTTCTTTTTGGCTGAGAAACTAGCCTAAATGCCAAAAAGCTGTTATTAAATTCATTTTATATTTGCCATCTCTTTTTACATTTGGTAACCCTCAAATAACTATATAGAGAGATTAGTCATCTCTTACCATATCACTTGAAAATTGTTAGAAACACATGTAATGGAGATGGAGGAGGCTGGGCCCTCAGACTGCACATCTGTGGTCAGTGCTGGCAAGAGTGTCCTGCCTCTCTGTCCCTCAGAGTCACAAGTGAGGCTTTACAAACTGCAATCAAGAGTAAAAATTCAGTACTTTCTCACTCTGTGCACACGAGGATTTTTATCGTGCCTCTTGTTATTTGTAGAGGCTTCTTAGAGTCTGCATTCTCAGTTTTAGAAAGGTGGTGCAGGATCAATAAGCAAAAGCTTTTTCTCTGTGACACCATGGTACAGAAGAGCTTAAGACACGTAGTCTGTCTTTGGTTTTGGTTCAATTTTCATAGTGATTGGTGTATTGGTTTCCTAGGGCTGTCATAACAAAACACTACAAAATGTGTGGCTTAAAGCAATAGAAATTTACTCTCTCATAGTTCTGGAGGCTAGAAATCCAAAATCAAGTTGCTAGCAGATCAATGCTCCCTCTGGAGGCTGTAGGAGAGAATACTTCCTTGCCTCTTCCTAGCTTCTGGTGGTTGCTGGCAATCCTTGGTATTCCTTGGCTTGTAGCTGCACCTCCACATTTCTGCCTCTGTTGTCACATTGTCTTATTCCCTCTGTGTCTGTCTCTCTACGTCCAGATTTCTCTCTTCTTATAAGGACACCAATCATTGGATTAGGGCCCAACCTAATCCAGTATAACTTTATTTGAACTTGAATGCATCTACAAAGATCTTATTTCCAAATAAGTTCACATTCACAGATACCAGGAGGTAGGACTTCAACATATCTTTTGGGGAACCCAATCCAACCCTCAACACTTGATAATCCATTATCTCTAAATCCAAAATTCCAGGGACATGATTTATTTTCGGAAAATTGATTATGTTCAATAAATTAATGACATATTTGAACCAGTCACTAATTTTAATTTGAGGAAACTATGCATTTTCGTTTGCCGAATCAGAGCATCTGTTTATTTAGTTCTATTTTGCATGTGGCTTCAACTGCTTCTTCATCTTCAATACCTCTTGCCTCTTGACAAAGATCAGCAGTGCCTGATAAGAAGATTAACCACTTTTTTATAAGGAGTTTATATGCCACTGAGAAGCAGAGCTGCTAATTATGGATGAGTGTGTAAAGGTACTTTTGTTTCGTGTAATGTGGCCTAATGTGCGTTAATTACAGTACAAGTAGCGTTAACTCCAAGGTGGGGAGTTAGCATGTCAGATGTTTTAAATTCAAGGACAGCAGAAATACTTCTTCAATAGAGTTCTGTCACCAACAGTAAATCAACACTCCTCAGACTCGTATGCTTGGTTGCTAATTAACTGTTACAAAGGTAAGTTTGTTGTGGAAAAATGTAACCATGGCTTAAATGGGGTGGCTTTTGGTTCAACACTGAAAAATGATGTAGCCCCTTTTTTGTTTTGAACAAGACATGTTATTTGATTAACGTATAATTTTTCTAAAGTCTGAATATTTCATATTAAATTGATATGGACTGAGGGAGGGAGAAAGCCCTAGATGCCTTTAAACAACTATTACTTGAGCAAATCTGTATGATTTCAATAAAAACTACCACCTCAATTTAAATAATCACTATTTAATGAACTACGTTATAACACTTTAATGTAAACTTGTGACCAAGGTTGATAAAAATATCGGTTTAGGTTCATACATGTTGAAAAGTAAATAACACATTATATGATTATACACTAACTTAATGTAGAGCTGATAAATAATAATATAAAGATAAATTTTTATAATCATAATCATCATCTTATATTTATATCCTGCTCCTACTGAGATGAGTCTCTAGTTACATTTACATATTGAATTACAAAGTTAAAACTAATGATGGGATCAATTATGCCCCATACTGAGCTGTGCACTTTCAAATGACTTTGAGAAAACAGGAGGGTCAAAAAAAAAAGCATCCACAGTACACAGTGGTTTCAAGATCATGCTAATAGATAAAGCGGAGGGACTGTAATGGACAATAATGTGTGTTTGTCAAAGAAATCATGCTTTTTTGGTGTAAAATCTAAAGTACATTTTTAATATAAACATTTCTGAGAATTGGAAACTGTGTAGGCTGGGTCATGGAAGTTGCTAAATGCTTTATTTTAGATAGATATATAAGGGCAAATGTAATATGAATCCCTTTATGATCCTGTTTGTTTGTTCTTGTAATTCTTTTAATGTACTTTTAGTGTATTTGCTGTGTCTCAGTTGAAATATAATCTGCCCCATGTTTGCCGTTGTCATGCAAAATTTGATAGTATCCTCTTTGTCTTTCCTAGCTGCATAATAAATGTGCTTCTCATCTAAAACCTGAATGTGACTGCGGACCTTTGAAGGACCATATTTTACCACCCACAACAATCTGTCCAGTTGTACTGGTGAGTTTTTCCTTCTCCTCCTTCTGCTGTAACTTGGGGCTTCTGTGACTAACTAGTACACTATACCACTAAATGCTTCCAGAGCGAATTTTCCATTGATCAAGGCAGAACTCTATAGATCTAAAATACTTCATGACTTCAAAGAAGACACCTTGGCCCACTATGTTTCCTTTTTCCTTCATGGCACAATAAACATTTTAGTAAGGTAGCTCTCTAACTGAAGCTGACTCAGGTTTTATCGCTTAGTCTTGCTTTACTTACCAGAAATTGTATAGGCAGAACACTTCTACATTTTACATGTTTTATAGATCTAGCTTCCCAGAATAATGAAGTTATTCTTACATGCAGTTTTGCTGGGGAAGCACATTATATGTGCCATGTTGGGGTCTCTCATCTAGGTCAGAGGCTACCTAGAATGAGGACACATACCTCGAAGAAAGCTATGCACTGCCATTAGGCATATATTTTTTTTTATTAATGAAGAATAAATTTACCTGCAAAATGTTACTTAATTCAATAAATATACAGGTGAAAAATGCATACGTAAGGTAACCCTGAAAAAAACAAACGTCATTTGAAAGAGCAACAGATATTCAAAGACAATATTCATATTACATTTCAAGATTGAAACTGTTTCTAAAGTGGAACAGTTACTTGATAAAACAAACTATTTTCTATCCATAATGCAGTTCTCATTTTTAAAAACAACATGGAAATTAAGTGGCTGGAACTTCAGTTCAATATAATAAAAATACAACAACTAAGAAATGTTAGACAAATACTTTTCTAAAGGTCAACTTAGAAATTAATCAAATTACTCAATTTGCACCCACTTATGATTCATTTTGTAATTATCTGTAAAATACTGGTTGTATTTTAAAAGCCTTTATTTCAAAAATTATTTAAAACCCTTCATTTTCTCAAACTGCAAATATAGAGCAAAAGAAAATGCCTCTACATTGCTGAGTATAGCAATAACTAATTCAAAATTTCTTTTCTTCATGTAAGATTTATTAGACATCCTGTAGTAAATAAGATTAATTAAAAATAATGAGAGCCATATAAAAATACTTTACCTTTTAGACAAATTTTGGTATTATTTTTATTCTTTTACAGTCTCTTCTTAAAGAGAAAGCACTTGTAGAATTTTTACATAATTTCATTCTTTTTAAAAAGTATAGTAATTTTATTGGTTTAGATGCATCCTTGATCTCAGATTTTAATTCTAAGAAGAAATCTATCATGTCATCCTACTATCCAGCTGTCTGCGTAAACCTGTCTCAATTCAGTGAGCCAGGGGCCTACTTCTTTGGCCCACTTATGTCAACCTCTGGTCACATAAGGTCAAACACGAGATGGATTCTTCTTATTATTCTATCCTTTCTTTCTTTGAGAGAATCACAGATAAAGAACATGTGTTAGATGAACGTTCTTGTCTTCTAACAATCTTGCAAACCCTTTCATTGCTTTTTTAGACACTTGATTCTGGAGATTTATTTTCAATCATTAAATCTTCCTTTAGTTTTAATCATGAGTTGTATCTCACCATTTGCTATTTTATCATTTCCTTGGTTCTATCTCTATGAAGTATTAGGCATTATTGACCACCTCATCCTTCACAAACATCTACCTTTCATTGACTTCCGTTATACCATGTTCTCCTGATCCTCCTTCTGTTTCTCTGGATACTTCCTTTTAGTATCTTTCCCGGCTTTCACAGCTTCAACCTGCCCCGTGTTGGTACGTCCCTGTGCTCTACCCTCACCCTTCAAAGCTGTCCACTCTTAGCATTCTTCCCAGAGAGATCTTGTTTATTTAGTTGATTTCATTACCATGTTAATTTACATTAAGTTCATCCTCCTTTTTTGAATCTCAAACCTATAGAGCTTCAACCTGGTCATCTCATGTTGTTTTACGTGCCCAATATGTTATTACTATTTAATGTAATAATGATAACTTTTATTTATTGAGCACATGTACTATACCAGCTACTATGCTAACCATATTAATTGATTTATTCAAAAAGTATTTATTGAGTGTCTAATATGTGCCAAATAGTATTATAGGCAGGGGAAAAACAGTAAAAAGCTAAATCAAATCTTTACCTTCATAGAGTTTTCATTCCGTTGGGGTGAAATGGGCAATAAGCAATGTAACAAGTAAATTATTTAGTACCTGGTTGCGTTAGAACACTGATTCTATTTTAAATTTAAAGGGCACAATTAAAGCAGGGAAAGAAGAGAAGTAATGCTCGAGCTACAGTTATAGAAGAGACGGTCAAGCATAGTTCACCAGGGAGGTAGTCGAGTGAAAAGTTGAGGAACGTGAGGGAGTCCTCCATGTGGCTACCTGGGGACAGAACTTCACAGACAGAGTCGTCAGCAAGGAGGACAAGGAAAGGTAGTGGCTGGGCCTGAGTCAGCAGGGGGAGGAATAGAAGAGAAGGTCAAAGATGTCACAACATTTTCACATTGTGTGGGGCAGTTTAGGCCATTGTAAGATCTTTAGCTTTTATTCTGAATGAAGTTGGAAGCCATTAGAGGATTTTGACCAGAAGAGGGAATGATCTGACTTACATTTTTAAAGTAACAATCTAACTTCTGTGTTGAGAGGGCAATAATGGTAAAAAGATATGGCACTTTGATTTTTCTCAGAGAAATAGGAAACGGGGTCATTGCTGGGAGCAGGAATGGTATAAGACATATGAGAAGTTAAAGGATTGGGAAGAGGTTGCACAACAGTCACCTGGGAAAGTGGGAGCTACATGGATCGAGGAAATACCATATGATTGCTGGGGAATAATGACCAGTCACTTGTTGTTAATGATCATAAATTTAGAACAAGACTAGTAAGCTTGGATGAGTATACTTCTCTGACCACATTTAGTCATTTTTCTCCAATTACGTTCCATCTCTAAGAGTAGAATAGGCATAGCCCAGCCTTAAGGAGGCTGCTTTGCCCAATATGATGAAAGGAGAGAATAGCCAGGGAGTTGAGAGTGTGTGCAAAGGAGTGACTATAAGGATTAACCACGGAATTTAAGCTGAGAAATGAGAAAGGCAAGGACATGAAGAGTGAGGTACAGTAATGGATGTTAGAAACAATACGTTGTGAATTACACTGCAATCAAAGATTGTTGGAATCAAGGTTATTGGTGTCAGGTTACAGGAGTGAGTGAGGTAACAGTTGAAATTATGAAGGGGTTGCAGCTATTGGTAATAATAAGTATGAATTAATTTAATTCCCACAGTGACACCATAAGATTATAACTATTCCTATTTTACATATTAGCAAATTGAGAAATAGTGAGGTTAAGTAAGGTTCCCATGTCACATGGCTATCAAGTGGCAATCCAGGATTGGAACCCAAGAAGTATCATTCCAGAGCTTGTGCAGAATTCAGCATTCTCACCCTTTCTCCAAATCCCAATATGGGCCTTCTCCTGTTTGTCTTATCTCGGTGACTAGAACCTTCACCTTACTTTCCCAAGCCAGAAACCTAAGAATCATTGGTGATGCCTCATCTTGAATATCAAATTAATCATTAGACATTCTAATGTATTTAATCCTGTATCTTTTCTTCAGCCCAACTGTGAGTCTCATATGTCACCCTCACAAATTGTTCCCCAGAGTTGTCCTAGTAGCATCCTTACTGAATTGCCTCCTTTCTATGCATCCTCTGCACTGCTTCCTGGATCTACTTTCAAAAATGTAAGAAAGTATTTTCCTGCTTAAATACTTTAAAATATTTTCAGTGATTCCCTATCTGAATTCCAAACTCTCCAGCATGGTTAACAAGGCTCTTTAATTAGATCAACCCACCCAATCTCTCATATACCACCTTACACACTAGAAATCAAGGGTAGTTTAAACTACTTGTAAATCTCTAAGTACACCTGCTCTCCAAAGCCTTTGGGGTTTTATATATGTTAATAAATCAGCCTAAATCACTTTGCTTTAAATTTTCCTCTGCCTTCTGAGTAGAAAGTAAAGGTTACCTTCTTAGCATGGAATAAGTGCCTTGACTATTAAACCCATTAACTATTTAAATACGAACACCTTAAACAAATTAATGAAGTTGTTCTGCACACAAAAGTGCTTAATCTGCTCCGAATGATGGGCTCTGAGACTTTTCAATTTGTGAACTCGGTTAACTTCCCACGAGTGATTTCACACTGCATCGCCCACTGTAAATTGTTAACCTTTTCTTTAAAGAAAATCGTTAGTCTTTGCAAATAATATAATCTTGTTTTGTTTTTTGTTCTTCAGTAACAATTTCCTTCTTAAAAAATTGTAAGTCTCCGTTTCTTATGATAATGTTTTCTAAGAAAAACAGGTGAGATTCAGACCCAGTTATTGCAAAATGGTCATCAATATCATTTCTATCTCATTCTAGAAAATATGAAATGAAGAGCATAAGACATCTAGTTTTATTGAGGTTTTTTTTTCCCTTGCCTTTGCCTCTGTGGTCAGGAGTTGGTTATTGAATGAGCAATATAAACTCAATATGGATCCCTAATTCCTGGTTGAAATATCTTAATGATATACTACAAGGTCAAGGTCCCTGACAGCAGTCTTCTGATATTTTAGAACATCTTTCCAGGTGTTATTTTTATTTACTTATTTATTTATTTTAAATTTCTGTACCACTCTTTTCAGCCTTCCAATCCCTCCCCAACACTTGTTATTAACTTTAAGTAAATGATTCAATAGATATGTGCTCACCTGTTATGGAGATTAGCAAGGTAAGCATCTTCTTTGCACTGATCACATGCTTTTGTAAGCATGCACTATAAATGGCTTCCACAGATAATTGGTCTTGATAGTACCTATTGCCATAAAAATGGATTAAAACCAACTACTCTGAAATTAAAATTGAAAGGTAATCAATGATTCCATACCTCAAATATAATCACTATTTTCTGGAGTTGCACTTGGTGTCTGGCATATTTTGAAAATACTGTCAAAAAACGACACTGCTTAAAATTTATCAAAATTTTTCTATGACTGTGTTTGGTACTTATAATGCTTCCATTGATCATTTTTCCAGCAAAAAAAATGATTACAACCACAGTCCATTTACTACCATATTGAAGATAATTCAGAACAGTTTGCAAAGGTAGATTTCTTGAGGGTCTTCTCTCATTTCACCTTCAAACAAATGTAAAGTGAGTCTGATTTATTCAGTTAGGACTCTTGATCAGCAACTTAATATCTATAAAAGGCCATTAACTCTTACCAATTGATTGTCAAAACAGGTGTTCTGTCTATAATAGAGTCCATTAAATGCATTCTTGTTTCTTGTTTTAGATCGTACTCAGAAATCTCTGCTGTCCAATCCCAATCAAAGTTATAATGCAAAAACGGTAATAATTTCATATGGAACATGGCCTGATAAGCATGCAATCCACCCATTCTTTTATGTTTTAATTTTACCCTAACCCAAGACATATTTGTTCCATATTCTTTTATTCCCTCACAGATATGCTTTAGTTAAATTTGGACTCATTATTATGTCATTAACTTGCATTGAGAAAAATCATATGAAACCCTCTATTATCACAAGAAAGGTATGCTGTTGGAGATGCTTCCATTACCTGACAAAAATCCCTCTCAGGTCTGTTTATCATGGTTTGTTATCTTTTGGACCCTATGAGTCTTGTTCTTGTCATGTTTTATCTTCTATCCTTAGGAAGCTTACAGTTAAATTTATATCCACATTTGACTATGATGCTGGGATATATATTATTTATCTCTATGTACTAATCTATAACTTTATTACTATCCTATCCATGAATTTCCCTTTACTATAATGGCCTCATTTAGTACTTTTTAAATTATTTTTGATAGTACATAAATTTCTTAGGTCATAGAAATCAATATAATAGGCTAGATAGAATTCCTTTGATTCCTAGAGTTATTTCATAGAGGAAGCTATAAATCTGATCAACTTCTCTAGTACTATAGTGTAGTCTTACATTTATTCTAAATTTTATATATTTTTTTAAATGATCAGGCAAACTGGGTCTCTGTGATTACACAAGTTTTTATAATGATTCTTCAGTTTGGGTTAGGTTTTTATTCAGTTAATTCTGCCACTATTGCAAAAGAAGACTTGAAAATGTCTCATGAGGAAGTAACATTTTAAACTTTATGTTTGAACAGCAAAATGAAGCAGATCATCATAAAATCATTTCTATTATATTTAGCTAAATGATTTAATTTAGTTTTGTCTGTTCATAAAATAATTAATTTACGTTATTATTTAAAAACAAGGTTCTTATGCTCTAAATAAGGAGTTAATTATTTAGTCATTTTCTGTATCAATATATATTAGTAAAGCTGATAAATTAAGAAATAGGGGTGATATAATGTTGATTACTTTAAAGTTGAGTTTATATTACAGATAAGTATCTACTTTTTATATACTGTATGACTATATCTTTAAAATATTTTTGAGATCATTACTGATAATTAATGTACGTTATTTTTATATACAATATCTATAGGGCTAGATTCCTTCTATTTTTTCTTCTTCTCTGTCATTCTTCCTTTCTTTCTTCCTTCCTTTGGCTTTTGTTAGAGTCTATAGCTAAAAATTTAGATAAGATAGTTCTCTTATTTACTGCAATTTACAGTCTCTGGGTCAAGACAGGCAAACAGATTACATATTATGGTGTGATAAATATTAACTTACTGAGGTTTTAGTGGAGAGAATCTTAATCTATCCTGAGGGTAAATCAAAGAGTAAATGAAAACTTTCTTGAAGAAATGACGCCTGAGCTGAATCTTGAAAAATAAATAGAGATTTGGCCAGCAAATGCAAAGAGAGCTCCATATGAATAGTCTCAGCAACAAGAGAGTACAGAGACAGGTCTCGTAACGGTGAAATGTTTATTAAGACTTATGAGTAAAGGTGAGGCTTGGAGAGACAGACAAGGTCTGAGATGGTAAAATGCCTGACCTGTCTGGTCAAGGAGTTGGGCTTTATCCAGTACATATTCCAGACTACATGAGCAAGTTTGTGTTTTAGAAATAGAATTCTGCCAGCAGTGTGATTTAAAATAAATTTAAAGCAAGAAACAGAGGATATATGAGAGTGTAGTTATGAGAGTATGATGCAAATAATCAGAAAACACCAACAGAGTGAGAAAATGATAGAACCCGGAGAGAAGGTTGTAGCAGAGAGTGGAATATTAGACTTTGATTTGATTTGATTTCAGAATAGATTAGCTCCAGAGGATGGTAAAGTCCCATCTACAGCCATGGAGCTGGGTGGCTCAGCTGGTGCAGAGGAAGTTCACTAGATGTTAGGAGGTCAAGGAACTCTGGGGTTGGTTTATTGTATGTTGTCCTTAAAACTGTCCAGGATAATGGCAGGGTCTTCATGAAATAGTTGCTATATGACAGCAATGAAAAAGGGTAGAGGGGAGAATGAATAGAACTATTAGATTCCATGAGCCTCCAATGAAAACAGATTCTACTTTGGGGCTGGAGGAATGATTCTTTTGATGGAAAGCCAAAAGATTGCCATAAAAACTATAGAACCAGTAATGGTTAGGAGAATAAGCAAACTTTTTTTCAGAATTGTTAGAGGGAATGTGGTGGCGACTTAGAAAGGAAAAGGATAATTTGTTTATTTTAAGCAAGGATTCCAGAGAGTCCAGTGAAAAGTTTTGGAAATGAGGTGAGTTATGGAAAATCAATTGAGGAGAAAGAAAACAGGAATAAGCATAGGATAGTGATAGTCAGAAAAGATAGAAGACTAGAAACTTAAGTTTCTAACATGAACTCTGGATCTGTGGACAGGTTGTTTCTTTCAAATGGTTACAGAATGGTGACAAATGACT